TTTCCTGCTCCTCTGATGCTGCCTGGCCTGCTGTGTTCATCCAGCTCTACACCTTGTTATCTCAGATTCTCCAGCATCTGCAGTTCCCACTATTTCTCATTGTCAATGGATGGATAGCTGAAGTACTAGTGGCAGGAATTTCAATCAACATATGAAACATAGCAACCAAATGTTCTATTGCATTAAAAAGGTAAAATTCCTAGCTGATTTATCCATGGATTAAAATACTTAATATAATGCCAGTGGCTGTTTGTTAAGCCCGTCTGACAATAATGCTGGTGCAACCTTTGACATCGTGAAGTCTGTTGCTGTCAAAATCCACCATCAGTTTCCGTAAGCCTGTCTTGCTCGGTTTGAAGGATACGTTCACCACAACCTCTTGCCCAGGATGGATTGCTGCAGTACTTCGTTTATTTAGAAAAAGAAGAAATAAATAGAAGTAAGAGAAATGCAAGAGGGTTTCTTCTAACGGGTGGTTGTATCAGAATCAAGCTCATGTAAAATGATCAAATGGACTGCATTTGATTTGTACAAATGCATATATTTATATTTATATACAAATGCATTTCCACTATATATATATATGTGTGAATGCAGATGTGCATGCTCCCTTGAGTAGGATTGGCTACAATTATGTTATCATTATTTACAGTGGAAACACACAGTTTCATCTAAAATATAAAATAGAAATGCAGTGTGATATAAATGAAGAACAATTCAAGATAATATTCAAAGACACCAGCACACAGCTTCCAGTAGATAATCACAAAACGTCATCAGTAACTGGAAGGGAATAGCTTCTCTGTTTATGAGGGTTAATTTTAAAGATCAACAGAACGAGGCTAACAGGTGGGTCAGAATAATATCCAGCACATGTCGCATTTGGACTTGAGCTTAGCTTCAAGAAATGAAAAGGCTGTGTTCAATTCATGGCATCAAGTAACAGTTGTCAAAATATAAACTTTATATCATTACATTTTAAACAGGCATATGTACAGACATAACTGGCACTTGATTTCACATCACACAGCAGCTTTTGTTTCAAACCCCACTGAAATAAACTGCTGATCATTCAACACCAACACGAACCTTCTTTGTGGCATTACCAAAACAATCTTTATAATGTCACCCTATCAGTTACAGCAGGACCTTTTCTGCAACGCTTGAACAAAAATCAAATTTCAGTTACTGAGGGAATGGCCAGCAGATGGCAGGACTTGCTTACAGACTGTCTAAAAGATGCAAGAACATGAAGAGACACAGCTACTCTAACCCGCACCGTCACAGAGACACAGGTACACTAACCCGCACCGTCACAGAGACACAGGTACACTAACCCGCACCGTCACAGAGACACAGGTACACTAACCCGCACCGTCACAGAGACACAGGTACACTAACCCGCACCGTCACAGAGACACAGCTACTCTAACCCGCACCGTCACAGAGACACAGGTACACTAACCCGCACCGTCACAGAGACACAGGTACACTAACCCGCACCGTCACAGAGACACAGGTACTCTAACCCGCACCGTCACAGAGACACAGGTACTCTAACCCGCACCGTCACAGAGACACAGGTACACTAACCCGCACCGTCACAGGGACACAGGTACACTAACCCGCACCGTCACAGAGACACAGGTACACTA